AGAAGGACTTTCTTTTTCCATGTCTCTGGTTTGAAATATTATGTAACGATAATGGTTTTAGGCCTGTGGGGCGGTTTTACCAGCACTAGCGAGCTCGGTAAATATTGGATCTGATGGCTAGAACACTTCGCGAGGGCGCGAGGTTCGAAGTACTAGCAAACAGGGTTATGCTAGCGGTGACACTGGACGGGAAGGGGGAATAACTCTGTAGAGCAAACCGCTTGGCAGCCGGCACTCGTTACAAGATGCCAGAGGTACAGGGTCTAGTTTCTTAGTCCCAAGAAGCGAGGAAACGACAGTAAACACTGAGATTTCTTCTGGAACACAGCAACTTCTTTAATGTAGAGTAAACTTCATCGGTACTTCACAGCTTATGCACGCGTACAGAGTAAACGTTGGTAATCATGGTTGGTAAACACTTTTCGCGTTGCTTATATATCGTCTAAAGTAAACGTAGGTGTTCGCTTATACAAATGACTACAAAGACTTTAACACTAAGACATGTGCAGGCTGATAACTACAGAACATCCGATTGGTTGGCCCAATCTTCATTTTAAGTAACAAAGCTTACATCTGCTTGGTTTCTAGTAACAGTCTTAGTTAATCTATTGAAAACGCACGTGTTGTCTTCTTCAGTACATTGTTGTACCAGAGCAGATGGTCTTTTGATATTCAAAATCTCGCTTAATTTTAACAATAACCAACATGTGTTCCATTGAAATTACTGACATCCGTTCTATCATTGAAAACTTCTGACAAGAACTGCATTTCTTATACTGAAACTATCATAAATCGGAGCGAGCTTGTAATTTTGTAAAAGCAAAGTGATGAGTGTCTTTTGTTATCGTGGCAATTGACTGTGATTATTGAAAACATTTTGACCACTCGACGAAACAATACCAACCGCCAAAGTTGTGATCAGCCAAACCTAGAATGATGGATGACAAATCGTATTACAAGTACAGTTTCGCGCAAAGCAAACCGGTTGCAATTGCCAGAGGGCGCGCCGTTAGCATCGCGCCTGCGCCTGCACCAACTATCTTGTTCTGATGAATACAATTACTATATTATGACTCCCTGCAGCCGCGTCTCATGAGAGGAAATTGGCTCCGGACCGCTGTCTCATTGCGGGAAGTTTCGGAATCTAAAAACTTGAACAACGGCTAGAAAAAAAATGATTGATCAGCACAATGCACGAGAGCTATGTCTCATTCCTTTTCTTTGGAGGAACAGCCTTCTCTGATTTTATTCGACCCAAACTTTACTGGTTTGGTAGCAGGTGAGCATCTTTTATCATCGTTATCGATAATAAACGAAGCTCACTTGTTACTAAACTAATAGAATAACCGAGGTCTGAGGGTTATAACGTATACTTTGATATGCCGATGGGAAGTAAATTTGAATGTCCTATTTGTCTTCTGGGACTGCAAAAACCCGTGCAAACAAGTTGTGGCCACAGATTCTGTAGAGGCTGCATTG